TTTTTTGTACCAGATTTCTTGCAAAATACTAATCTTCAAATTCGAACTGACTTGAACAGCATAGGAAGCAGCTGAAGAAGGAGTCGGTCGATCTGGCGCTGGCCCACTACGACAACTTCTACTCGAAGGTGTACCAGGAGCAGTGGCAATCGATTCGCCTGGGTCTGCTTTCGCCGAACAAGTACGCCGCCATTGTCAACCATTTTGGCGACTCGGAGGCGGTGCAGATTGCCCTCAGACAGGCGGGGGCCTACGATCTGCAGTACATCTACGAGAAGAACCTCAGGCGGATACTGCGACAGCTGGAGAAGAAGCGCTTCTTTGCCGCGAGAAAGGCCGAAAAGAGGAGGGGTGATGCTGAGGAGGGAAGGGCAGAGATGAGCTCTGATGATGAACACGGTAAGCGATACTTTTGTTTGGCACCTAATCACCAAACTAAACACTCCTTTATCTATACAGTTCATCCGAGCATACTGGAGGCATCCGGAGCGACCTCTGATTCTGAATTCGAATCAATCAACGCCTTCTTCACCGACTCAGAGGGCGGCGGCGAAGACGGCGGCGGTTTCATCAACGAGGCGCAGATGGACCTCAATCTAAACGACTACGTGCCCGTCTCCGACCTGAAGTACGCCGAGGAGACGGTGGACGACGCGGACTACTTCAAGTTCTACGACATTCACTCGGAGGTGCCGGTGACGGTGGTCGAGCAGAACGTCCTCCGCTACCCCACCAACCTCAGTCTGTTCACCTTTCCGCGCAACAACTTCTCCACCTTTCCCTCGCCGAAGCTCCGTCAGACGAACCTCTTCGACTACTACCTCATCGACGCCGCGTCCGCCCTGCCCGCCCTGTTGCTGGACATCCAGGATGGCGACTACGTAGCCGACTTCTGTGCCGCACCGGGCGGCAAGTCGCTTCTGCTCTACCTGATGCTCAAGGACTGCCGCTTCTTCCTCAATGAGAAGTCGCTCTCTCGCTTCAAACGGCTACAGAACGTCTTTGCCTCCTTTGTGCCCCGTAGCAGCCAGGCGAACATCGAGTTCTGCAACTGCGACGCCAACAGCCTCCGCATCTCAAAGCCGAACACCTTTGACCGGATTCTCGTCGATGCGCCGTGCTCCAACGACCGCCACTCGCTGTATGTCAACGACAATAACATCTTTGCGCCGAAGCGCATCAACGAGCGCATCGGCCTCCCTTCCCAGCAGATGGACCTCCTCCTCAGCGCCCTGTACGCCGTCCGGCCAGGGGGCACCGTCGTCTACAGCACCTGCAGTCTGTCGCCCATTCAGAATGACGGCGTCGTCCATATGGCCCTCCAGCGACTCGCCCAGGAAGGGAGCACCAGCACTTTTAGTGTGGTCAACCTAAAAGAGGCGCTGCGGCCGCTGAGGGGCGTCTTTGCGCTGAACCACAGCTTCAAGTACGGCACCCAGGTGGTGCCCTTTCTGCCCTCCAACTTTGGACCGATGTACTTCGCCAAGTTGGTGCGCACTGCCTAGTGTGCGGGTGATTAGCAGCAGCACAAAGTGATGTGTGTACAGGTGTGATGTGTGCTTACAACTGACAACTGCTATAAAAGGGAAATGTGCACTCGATGTGACTAGTGCTATCACCGGTTCTGGCAGACTGTCTGTCAATGTGAAGGGCCTGTCGGGCTGCTGCTGCTAATCACGAAGCAGCACTAGGCAACCAGGAGCAACCCTTTCAAGTTTTCCACCTGTGGGGGCAAATCAATATCAATACCAATAGTTTGCGGATGCTGCAAACTCTTTATTATTATTTCCTTTCCAACTAAGCTTGTAGCTTGCCAACGTGCATCCCCAACTTAATTTACTCTTTTCGGCATTATCTGATGAATGTGTTTTGCTGGTGTCCGCATCACCTGTGATTTTTTGGTTTGTAACTTTGCCCCACTTTGCACTAAAAAGTGATCAACGCCTCTTCTTTATCATTTCAGTCATGCCGCCTCAGACTGATTGCTTGTTTGATTGACTGACTGACTGATTAACCGGTTAGTAGCACCTTTGGACAATGTACCCAATCACGTTTAGCAGCACGTTTAGTGCTACATGCCCGGACCTGATTAGTCGCCAATTAGCGACTAGTTGTCACCTAATCCCTTGTTTGCACCAGCAACAGCACAATAACTTCTCACGTAACGCATCAGCTCAACTCTGATGCATTGCACTGATTAGCCGATGTTAGCCAGTCCAAGTAAACAACCTTTGCTGCTATAAAAGAGATGAACTTCGGCTCTCCACTTTCTATTACAACTAATACTACACAGAAAGAAAAATCAGCAAAATGAACAACCCGATCTTTTTCATACTGGCACTTCTTGGTGTTTGCCTGTTTTCGGTCACCTCAGCCTACCACGTGTTCCTCTTCACCAACCGCTGCCCGTTTCCCATTTGGCTGGCAGTGTCGGGCAATGC